CCCCCCCCAATGGCGGCCCTTGCCAGGGAGTCAGATTTTTATTCGCAACCCCCATTTACTTGCGTGACCCCATATGCAGGGGCGTCCCGAGGCCGGTTGTCACCTGGAGCGGAGTCCGGGTGACACCCCATCGTGACATCATCGCGCACGCGCGGCCATCTAATTGACGCCTGCTGGCGGCCATCTTAGTGATGGACGCCGGAAGAGAGAGGAGGGGACGTTCACCTGGTGGGATGAGGTATGCCGCCGGGTCCCCTCCTCTCTCCTGACACTGTTGGGATCTCGGTCCGTGACCGAGTGCCCGGCATTTTTAGAGGGGGTGACACCAAAACGACTGTCAGTCATTTGGGTGTCACCCCTGCAATGGTATCACCCGGGTGCAGGCCACACCCCCCGCACCCCGCTTGTGACGTCGCTGCCCATATGGAATTTCAATATAGAAATACAAAGAGAGGAATGTATCAAACCGGGAGCGGTCGCCCACGGCAACCAATCAGGTTCTCTCTTCATTTTTCAAAAGACTTCAATGGAGAAGCTGAAGAGAGAAGCTGATTGGTTCCTCTGGGAATCGCCTCCGGTCCGGATGATAAATCCCCCTCGTTGTATTTGTCCGTAGATGCCCCTTTAACCAATCGGGTGCCAGAGGCGGTGAGCTCCTGTATGGCTACTTTTCTCGGTTTCCCGTCCGTCTATACATAGCGAGGAGTCCGGGGAGAGAACATTCCGGATGTTCCGTGAAATAGACATCCGAGATAAGGAGAGGAAGGAATTCCGAGTGTCGGCCCCGGAGAGCAAACATTGATACAATGCAACCTGCGGGCGTTCTGATTGGGCGTTCCCGTGTGACGTCTGTGTCCCTCTATAAATACACGGGATGGACGCGGACGGACATCTCACATCTTCAGGTAAGTCACATCTGATGGATGGGGGGAGGGGGGAACTCTTCTATGACTGTTCTGTGTCCGTGTGCAATGCGTGTTTTACACACGTCTCCCGTACACGCCATTTATTTCTGTGGGAGGCTTTGCGCAGCACCTGTGGCTCCCTGATGTGCGTGAACCTCAACACTTCCTCTGAGCCCAGGTCATCTCTGCCCCCCCTCTTCCTCTCTGAAAGAGCTTATCTCACCGTCACTCTGCTTTCTCCTCCTATCAGCACGCTCCTTGCCAGCACGGGAACTGATTGCCTTCTTGTGCTGCTTCCTTTGGAGCCCTGCTGTACCGGGGATGCAAGAGGGCGACACCGGGTCACATTCAGCTGCTTGCGTTTTATAAATATTACCGCAGGGGTCGGCAACCTCGGCACTCCAGCTGTTGTAGGACTACAAGTCCCATGAGGCATTGCGAGACTCTGATGGCCGCAGGCATGACTCCTAGAGGCAAGGGCATGATGGGCTTTGTAGCTTCACCCCGGCCAGAGTGCCGAGGTGACCCGGATGTAAGCTCACCGGTCAGTAGGTGTGGTGGCCGCGTTCGTTTTCAGCACGGACAGAAAATACCTGCTGGTCCTGCCAGAAATCCTGCGGGCTCGTCACTTCCTGTGACCTGAAAAGCATCAAATATCCTTAGCTTTCCTGTGCAGACTACTCACCCCATCATCTCCTCATGCTATTGGAGGAGCAAAGGTGCGCTTGTTTGAAATGGAGGAGTGAGCGTAGTCACCCGGGGACAGGAAGTGCGTCACTGGCAGGATCACCGGGGGGAAAAAGCCGGAAATACAGAAAGCGAATGAAGCCGCCACATCTAAGGACTGGTGAGTTGTAATGTGTTACATTTGGGACTGCTGATAGGAGGAGAGAGCAGAGAGAAGAGCTCATCAGTCGGCTGCTTCTCCTTTCACGTGGCGGGGGAGGGGCGAGACCTGTGATTGGATCATTTTGTTTTACTTTTATACAAAAGCGCGGTATTTGTTCAGAACCGTTTTACCGCCAGTTTTGGGTTTTGTTTCAGCGCAGTGATCCGCACCTCAGAATGAAGTCGGGTAAAGAAGTCGCCATCTTCGGGCTCGTCGTCTTGTCCTGTCTCCTGTGGGCGGAGGAGGCCCACGCCGGTCTGACCTTCCTGAGTCCGGCCGACATGCAGAAGATCGCGGTAAGGGGGGCGGTCCCAGGTGTCCCGATCGCTGCGGTAACGCACGTCGTGTCTCGCTTTAACCCTTTCGCTGCCAGAGCTGGTTTTTGCACTCGTGTTTACACATTTTAGGCTTGAAGA